CCAATCATAAGATGATGTTTAATAAGAATTCAGTAGAAAGTGTTGCGAGAGAAGAGGAAACACCAATAATAAACCCAGACTTACAAATGGATCCGGAATATAAGAAATACATTTTTAGGGAAGAATATGATGAAAAGGGAAAGAAAATTAGAAATCTTGATGACATTAAAAGAAAAGCAAAATTTATTAATAAAAACTTAAAAGAAAGCAAAAGAAAGAAAATAAAGCCAATTATGAAAGATTTTGATTGCGATAGAGGTTTGTATTATTTTTTCTTAAATATTTAATATTTGTAATCTTGTTATTTGTAAGACTATAAAGTGCCATATGCTGTACCATATAGTATCAAAAGCACTTCATGTGCTGATCCGAGATATGGAAGAGTTTAAGACAAAGTTAAATGAAGTGGAGATCTATAAAAACCAAACCAAACAAATGGATTCAACAGCAGAGGACGCAAAGCTTATTATTAACCAAGAGGTCTGACTATAATCACAAATTTTATTCAATTAATTAACTATTAATAGTTATAGTATTCTTGAGGCAATCTAATTATATGAACGACAAATAAGTTATATAATTTGTCAATCGACAAGCATAATATCTATTTATAAAAATCTAAAATTATATTTATTACTATTGCGTAACCTAATGTACCTGTATATCGACTGTATATTGACATTAGATTTATGGCTAAAAATAAGTTACTGTTATATCACTTAATACTTCAATGATTATAAGCATTAACTTGTGTTCACAGAAAGAAATCAATGAAAAGAGCGATAAATCCGACGAAGAAAACACTGAAAATGAGGAAAATAATGATTCGTCAAAAGAAAATGACGACAAAAAAGTAATATTTATTTTTATATTTATAAATATGAATCCCTTTACTGTAGTGACCTAACCTTTAATTCATTTATAATCTAAAAATATGAGAATTCCATTACATTTTACCTTGGTGTACAATAACAATGTTCAAAATTGTATAATTCATGTTTTATTCAATAGGATTCCGAATCTGATTTTGAGAACGAAATAACTGATGAAACTGAAGACACATATGGTTTGGACACCAATTGTGATGCTGAAGAAGACATGAGACAAGAATTATTAAAGAATTTGGATTCAGATGTTTGGCAATCGCTTCTGAAGGGAATGAAACATTTGGAAAGACTTAAGAAAGAAGAATAAATATTCTTTAAAATGTCTTTTTATTTGTTAATTGTATAATAAATGGCAACATTTTAGTAGAAATAAATCAAATCTAATGTAAAAATTAATATTTGTTTAATTTAAGCATAATTTGATTGTTTTATTAATAAAAATTTTTAATTAATCAAAAATTACTAATCGTAAGATTTTAATTTTTATTCATGCGTTTAATAACAAACATTTGCTAAAGATTTCTTATGATTACCTAAGAATTCATACTATCATATATATATGGTATAATCAAAGGTCATGAAACATAAAATAGCAAATAAGTTGTCGTGAGTTTCTGGAAATAGAAATTTTAAGTAAAATTAATCATTGATTTTAAAATGTAATCATTGGACAGTATTAGTGGACAACTTTATTAGCACTTTTTGTGATTTACAATGACTTTGTATGGTATGTATTGTGCGTCTGTTTTTGCATTTAATTTCATATCCTAAAAATGGGGACAACTTTTGTGGCCAAGATTTTTGGCGCCAATTACGGGAGTCTTATTTGGTCTCCACTGAAGATATTGATGAAGTAATAATTACTAAACTCTATAGAAGTGAGAGAATAACTGTAATATTAGAGCCAAAGTGTTGTTACAAGAATGCAACAAATAATTGATAGACAAATATAATATATTATGTTTGGAGTTAATGTTGGTTCAGTTTATTGAATATTAAGTTATAAATAAATATCATTTAAATATAATGCAATCACTTACAGAGCATTTACAGTATATTTAGAATTAATACACGAATATTGGAAATAATAAATAAGAGTTTGATATTACAAGAGATTTACAATATTCTTACCCTTTGTTCAAAATTCGTTACAAATGAAAGTTAAACACCAGACTAATAAAGACATCAATTTTAGTTTTTATCTAATTTATGAGAACAATTGATAAAATAAAAAAGTTGAAATACAATACACTAGTGTATTATTAAATAATGTATTTCATACGATACGGTTAGCGCTAACCACACTTACAATTAATATAATCAAAACATAATTTGTAAATTGAATGGAAAGGTGTTTCCGTATAATTGAATTCAAGGCTTTCAAGAAATGATTATTAAATACAAAAGACTTTGTTTCGTATGGATTCACAGCTAATTGAGTTGAGAACTGAAGTAATAATATCTAAAATTAATCAAATCTGAAGTGATGTCAAACTGCAGAGACTTTAATGGGAGAGTAGTCCTCATAACGGGTCAGTTATTTGTTTGTTACAAGAATTTGAATCCAATTCTTGACATAAATTTTAGGGTCGAGTTCTGGGATCGGGAGAGAGATTGCACTGTATTTATCGAGTTTAGGCGCACAGGTAGTCATCACCGGCAGGGATGAGGAAAGAGTTCAAGTGGTGGCCGAAAAGTGCAGAGAAATATCGCAACAGAAAGTGCTGGAAGTGGTGGCGGATCTGAACCGATACGACGACATCGAGAGATTGATTTATGAGACCATCAATGAGTTCGGGAAACTCGATGTTCTCGTCAACAACGCCGGGGTCTCCCAGATATCACCCATTTCTAGCCCAGACTTAATGCAAATATACAACACAACGATGAGTACCAACGTTAAAGGAGTCCTATATTTGTCGAGTCTATCGGTTCCCTATTTGGAGAAAACTAAAGGTTTGCCAAACTATACAACTCTTCAATGAATTCATGCAATTAATTGATGTGTTTTTGAAACTGAAGGCAATATTGTCAACGTTTCCAGCGTTTGTGGACTCAGACCCGTTAGTATTGATTTGCTCGCAAATGTATTAACACTCATATATTTTGTATGTTATCTTATGAACAGTTGGGACCACTTATGGTATGTATTCAGTTATGAACTCTATTATACAGAATATTCTGTATTCTGAGTATTGTATAGTATCTCAAAGTGTAGTCCTATTATTCTGTATATTCTGTATGTTAACAATGCTTTCAAACACTTGTCATCAGATCTATTGTATGAGTAAATCTGCCCTGGACATGTTTTCGCAATGCCTGGCACTAGAATTAGGTGTCAAAGGTATTCGTGTCAATAGCATCAGGTCTGTCACCACACCCTCCCTGTCCTCCAGTCCTATTAATAACGCAATGTCTGTCTGTGTGTGTCTGTCCTCCAGTCCCGCATCGGTCCGGACGCCTATATTCGACAAATTCGGTGTCCAGTCCTTCAGTCTTCACAATATCATCGAAATGACGGCCAAAAGCTATCCGTTGGGACGCATAGGAGAGCCCCTGGACTGCGCCAAAGCCGTCGCATACCTCGCCTCAGATGACGCCTCCTTCGTGTCCGGAGCCCTCCTGCGAGTGGACGGCGCCTCCCTCTACGCCAACATCACTGACCCCTCTTAGACCCTCTCAGACCCCAACCATATCTGCCATTAGATTAGTATTATATTCGTGTAATCATAGAGTGCTTAGACATCTCTATACCGAAAACTACTGTATTGTATGTATCACTCAATCAATGTATTCACTAATTGTTTGCTATGTCTGTAATAAATGCTTTCATTGGACACCAACTCATCCAACATTACCCATAGATTGTCAGCCAATCACTGGTCACCACAGCCTTCACTCAATTGCATGATTGCAATAGTAGTCAGTGATGTCTAGTGAGTGGGATTCGGGGGTTACTGTATCTCTAGTTATTTCAAATACCCCTAAACCCTAAGCTCTCAAATGCGTGACACTTGCGGTCTAATGATTACTCCCGTGTTGTGTGCACTGGAGTGCTGGCCATCACTGAACACTTCAGTCAAATGACTGTCAAGTGACTCGATTTAGACCTAAAGTTCAATTATTTCATCATTTTTGAAATAAAGTTTTCATGAATATGTCCACAAATAACGAGTCGTACGACATGTCGAACCCTTTTACGCAAATAATTCATACAATGAATGGAAGCAAACTGAGAGCCACTCATATATTCAATACGTTTTCGCTGAACACTAGACCTCTGTTTTGACCGAAAACTTGAAAATAGGAGTCATTTGTGGTTTGGTTTGCATTGCGTTGACAGTGAAGTGACTCTCAATTGAATCGATTGTCATTTGATTGCATTGTCTGTGAATTGTGTGTAAGTGTCGCACAATCTGTGGTCTGAGTGGAGAGACAATGACAGCGAAGGCGAGTCCATCGAAGAAGGACACGGATGTGTCTGCGGACCACATGTTTGGTCAGCCCAACGATCTTTGCAAAGTGGTGTATGTGGTGAACGTCTGCACTGAAGACCACAACCACTGGTGGGCCGACGCCGTGGACGCCAAACAGGGTGTGATCGACGAGTTGGTCCAGTTCTTCGACGCCACCGGAGAGCAGGCCATCGATCTCTGCTTCGATGTGGCCCTCGATTATGGGTTCATTACCACACAAACGGATCCCAAGACAGCGCGAGTGAGGTATGTATGCGGCGATTGAGTTTCAGATAATGGCAGCCATTGAATGATTAATTGAATGTCAAATGTGTTGAGATATGTGACACGAAAGCGAAATGAGTTGGACTTAACTCACGACTGGTTTTGTTACGAATGCGATGTATTGGTTCCGCCGAAGAGTCCACAGTTCTTGCGATGCGATCAATGCTTTCGTATCTTTC